ATTAATAATGTTGTAATAAATAATCTATACATATAATTATAACTAACAAAATTTATAATATATATGTAATACTATATGAAAAATATAAAATATAAAATTATACTAAACTCGAAATACATATTAAGCTAAAATATAAATTACATTTAAATATTTTTTTAAAAAAATATATATGGGATTACAAATTAGATATATTTAGATTATCGTGTGAATTGTGCATCTTATATCACAACTTGCAGAATATATAATGAAAGTTAAACCGTAAATATGAATTTCGAATCGGTTTATTCATTTTGGCCTATGTAAGACTTACAAGATAGGACAAGATAGGACAAGACATTATACAATGTTATCGTTGTCGCATGATCAATAATAATTTTTTGCAACTGCTGCAAAGACGGAATCTCTGCTAAAATAATATGATACCTCACCGTTAACGATCTGTTTACAAGCAGTATGGACATGAAAGAGGAAGTGGCTGTTTAGTATCCTGCTCCCATGCTAGTTGAACGGCCGTATCCGGACCCAATCTCCGGCGATATATGTAATATTGCATGGCGTGATATGAGAGTGCTCAATCTGCTTGTGTGAGAGCATATGTGTTCGTATCGGTATGTGGGTGTTAAAGAAATGCTTTCTGAGCACCGGTTGAAACCGCATATCGCTGCACACGTTGGAAAAGGAATGGTGAATAGTTGAAAGTGCGAAAGTGGGAAATAAATAGAAAGATGTTTGATATAATAAGATTAACGATTTAAAAAAAATAAGAAAATTAACGATTTATAATTGTCGCTATTTATTTTAATTCTATTATGTCGATATTATCAAGCGAAAGTTGCTAGAATATCGATAAAAGAATGCGTGTATCAAGGAAAAAAAAGATTTAATTGCGATTAACGATACAGGAATTAATTGAGGAATGTTTAATGGCAAGATGCATTTTGATCTCGAAAAATAATAGAAGATGAAGAAAGGAATCTGAAAGATAAGAAGCAAATACAAAGATCGAAGGTGGCGACTGTTGCAACGAGGAGATCTCGAAGTGATCTTGAAGCTGGCGGACGTGACTCTAGGCATCGGATGTAGAGTGCGGTAGGTAAAAGCTCTTACTGTGCGAGGAATGAGAAAGATAGAGCAGTGGACGTCGATAGTATAAACGGTATTCACAGTCAGGACTTAGAGTAAGCTTAGATGTAAGCCTTAAGACAGGCTGAGATAATCGCATATAGTAAGTTTTCAAGGTGGCCTTCAGGTATCGTGTTAAATCATTTTTTTCTTAACTTCTCTCAAAGTACAGCAGGTATGCGCACTTTCATAATGGCATCTCTCTTGAGAATATAGCCTAAGAAGAAGACAAATAGATCTTAAATGTCAAAAGCTTGATCAAGCAAATACGTAGAACCATGAAATTGGAAATGATTTGAGGTCATCCTCAGAAGTAAAGTGACCTTCATGAATCATACTGTCGGGCATGTCTCGATTATGAATACGACCATACGAAAGAGAGGCAAAAAGGAAGTAAGACAGAACGTATATATGTGTGTTACAAAGAGCGAACGGAGTACTAATGAATTAAATCGTTCAAACGATTTACCCAGAAATAGAAATATTACGTAAATCGTAAATCGGTTTAGTCTTTCAAGAAAATCCTTTAAAGTTTTCATGGTTAGATATATTTTCTTTTTATTCAGAAAAAAGTATTAAAATCTAAAAATTATTATCTTAACTTAACGAACACAATTTCCGACAGAAAACTACATTCTTCGTAAACCGCTACGTGAGATGAACAGATTAAATTAAACTGGAGCAATCGGATCATTGATTGGAAGACAAGGACGAATCATGAGAGATGGAGAACATTTAAGAAAGAAGAGAAGTAAAAAGGTCGAGAGATTTGTAATCGGTAGGAGCAAGAGGCGAACGCGAACGAGGAGATCAGAGACTATCAGACGAGGATAGTCGTGTCTCATCGATAGAGTAACAGAGAGAAGAAGAACGACAAAGATGGAGAATGTCGGCATCGAAGATCAAAAGAGAGAAGCGACGAGAAAGAGAGCGAACGATGGTGAACGAGTGTACACGTCTGGTGGAGAGGGAACGAGCAAAAGAGAGACCACGAGGTAAACGGACAGGGAAAGCCCAGGGAGAGAGAGACGGAGAGAGAGAGAGAGAGAGAGAGAGAGAGAGAGAGAGAGAGAGAGAGAGAGAGAGAGAGTACGAGCCAGGAGTCCGACGTAAGAACGTAGGAAGGAACGAGAGCCCGGCGTGTCGCTCGCGCTTGCATTGCTTTTCGAAGCTCGCGCGCGATCGGTCGCACGCTCGCGAGGTACGTGCATGGTGCAGGCTCGTGAGACATAGACGCACACACGTGGTGAGAGGAAAAAGGAGAGAAGATCCCTCCGGACTCGTTCCACGCTTTCTCTCTCTCTCTCTCTCTTTCTCTCTCTTTTTTTCTCTCGCGATCGATGTTATCTCGCGACGAGGATTCTTCTTGCGCGCGAGAAAGTGGCCGGCACCTCGAGATCGAAATCGAACCCGCGGAAAAGCGCGAGTGCAGTTTTCTTGGCGGTATCGATTGGTACCCATAGCTTCGATTCGGCGATTATTATGCTCGTTGATCTGTGAGATCTCGAACGCAAAGAAGAGACCGCGGGAAAAGGCGGAAGAGACTGCACGGAAGAGTTCATTGGGCAAAGGATTGAAGAAAGGGGGGTCACCGGAGAAAGGTAATCTGTATACTGCATTGTCGGATTTCCGTGATTGCATACGCTTTATGTGCGATCATTTCTGCGAAACTTCCGGATGAATGCATCGCGAATTACAAAGGATTATGCGAGTTGAAGTTCAATCTGTGAACGGGAAATTCATAATCTGATTAGACTGAATTGAGGAATATGAATTCGAAATTTATCTCTAAACAAGCGTTTGCAAAAATTAAGATTTTATGGAATATATAAAACAAGGATATTTTGTATTATTGTATTACGGAATTCTAGTTTCACCTTATATATTGGATTTATCATTATTTAAAAAATGTATATAGAAAAATATTTTAATATTTTAGATTTTAGAATACATACACAAAAATTTAAAAAAAATGCGATAAGATTCAGTTCTTGTTTAAAATATACGTTTCAGTTTCGTTTCTTTAACTTAATTTAATTTATCTACATATAACATTTTCAATTATTATTGTGATACAATTATAATTAATACAATATATTTGAAAATATATTAATATCGCTACATAATATTGACGTCTTTTTAATAGAACATCCAGTTATTCTAGAATTATTAAAATGTTTTTGATATTCGAATTGTGTCATTTAGAAATATGTTTATTAAATTAGAAACGAATTTATCAGTTTCTGTCAAAATTTTAACAAATTTTAGGAAATACAACAGAAACAAGATAGATGAAATGTGATTGGAGGAAGTAAAACACGGCACCTAACCAAGTTGAATAAATAGAACTCTTGAATGTGTGTGATCAAACAAGTCGATCTTATGATTGTCGATCCATAAAGGGTTGAATTCCCATACAATAAATAGTACCCCGTAGAGAATTCATACAGTAAACATAGGAGAACATATAAGACAAATAGGCGAGTAATTACATTTCTCGATGTATTACAGCAATGAAATATATTCAAAGAAATATAATTTTTTTAAGTTATAAAAATATCAAACAGATTTTTAATGATAACATCAGAAAATATGGTATGGGTTGTATTTAAAAAATATTAATTCCGATAAAATTTTTACAAATAATTATGAAAATTTTTAATATGGTTATTTGATTTTAAATAAACGAAGAAATAAAGGAAATTATAAAGCAGATCTTGGTATTTAATAATATTAATAATAAGATTTGCTTTAATCATAATAAAGTCTTCGCATCTTTTTTTATTTATGTTCACATATAATTGAATTTCTATTTTATTTTTGTTTATTTAATTTTAATTTATCGAGACTCGATAGTCTTAGAATAAAACATTCAAACATGATAAAATATTGTGCAAAGGAAAATATTTCAGCAAAGATGGGGCGACACTCTTTTAAAATAAAATCTTCTTCGATTAATTTGAGAACAGCTTTGTGATCTGCGCCGCATCTCTACGCGCGATTCATAAATAATGACGTCATCTACAATTACAATATGTATAACCATCGTGCGAATGACGATTAATACAACGTCTCGGGCTATGGTTCTCGAGCGTTGTTGATGAATATTATGTGAGAATCGTTTTCCACTATTGATACTAGTAAACGATTAAAAACAGTTAGTGCATAAAATGAAATCATGAAGAGAGGTATTATTATAAATTTTTCGTGGCAACATCTAATATTAATAAATAATTGTCAGCAACTATCACTCGCATTATACATATTAAATCTTTCCCCTGACAGATTAAAATCATGCATGTAATAACCAGCTTCGCCTTTCGAAACGTTTGCGAGAATTATGATCTCTATAATCTACGCAATTACTTCGCTAGCCTGTGATAAGCTGAAATTGAATTGTGCCGTTGATGACGCTGTCGATTGGCGCCTAAGTTTAGCCCGCTTCTGGGAAAGCAATTTCAATAAACGGACCGTAGGAAAATATGAGAGCGCACGTTCGAGACCGCCTCTACAAGCTAGTCCTATTCCTAAGTACATATGTACCTCTCTGCAACGAGTTAACGATCGATTCTTCTACGTGAGTCGTAGGGTGACTATTTTCCTGGCAACGGTTCTAACCTACCCAGCATCCGAAATAACGTTGCCGTTGAACATTTCGTGTCTCGCGAGATACAGTACAAGAAAATTGTTCGGCTGCCAAGGGACAAGGTATATACGCGCAAACACGATGATACTTCTCAGGGACAATTTTAATCTTAGAAATATTTTTAATTATACGTACGTAACTTTCTTTTACATTTATTTTTAACAATTAGATTTTATTACAGGCGACATTTTTATGATTTAAATTATATTACATATTTAATAGTATTTTTATATTTATTTTTCTAGTAGTTTTCTAGACTTCATTACAAATTAACATTTTTTATATTTTTTTGAACATTGCTATTAAAGTTCAGTAAAAAAGTATATCTGTTTTTCAACGGTTAATGGTCGTTTCTATTAATATAGATTAACTTTAATTTTGATTTAACTTATTCTTTTATTTTATTCTAAGAATTAGAAAGAAAATAAAGAGTAATTTAAACCAAGTAATATATTAAACTAAATATAAGTAATATATTAATTAAAATTAATCTATGTAGGTAGAAACGGGCACAGCCGTGAAGAACAGATATGTTTCTTAAAGTTTACGCAAATGTAATAATAATTACTTATTTCAAACATTTCAAAAGCTCGTATATCTGCAAATCTATTACAAGTTCATTACAAACATCAAGTTTCAAGATATATTCTGAATTCTAGTGAGTTTAATATTTCTCTCTCTCTCTCTTTCTCTTTCTCTCTCTCTCTCTCTCTCTCTCTCTCTCTCTCTCTCTCTTTTTCAATTAAGATTATTAAATTATGACAAATTTGATTTGCTTATTATATAAAATTCTTCGATCAATTTCATAATATTCTTTAAAAGAAAATTAATTCTTTTCTCTAAAATCTTTGGAGTGAAATCTCAGTCTTAAAAATTAAGCCACTCTTTTTCAACATTAGCTCAATTGTTCTTTAGAATCAAATTTTACTTTAAAAATTTTCAACAAGAAACTTGTTTTACATATAATAATGAGTTTTTCTAAAATTTGTAATAAGTATAGATATTATAAGCTTATTTCAAAAATATATTCTTTGTCAAAGATAACCGTTATTTTAAAAGAAGAAAATAAATTGAAACTCATCAAGTAGGAACTAGGAAATCCTGGCCATAACGGTCTAAGCTGGAATTTTTTTAATGCTTAACTAATTTAAATGTACATATATAGTATATATTAATTCACTTAAATTAGTTAAATTAGTTAAGCATTAAAAAGATTTCAGCTTAAACCGTTATGGCCAGGATTTCCTATTTCCTATTTGATGAGTTTCAAATTTTACGATATTATAATAATATTAACTAAATAAAACAAAAAATATTAAATAAACAATAATAAGATTCTTATTGTTTATATCATCGCCAGAAAGATGTTTCCATATATATATATATATATATACTGATTATTGTGAAGAATATTACTAAGGTCTTGCTTTAAAGGCTTAGGATGCTTGGAAGAGATCCAGCTTGGAAGAGATCCGGCTGAGTAATATTTTTCGCAATAAATAAATATATTTACAGATTTTTATATTAAAATCTCTTTAGATGCCTATTGGACATCGAAAATTTAATTGTGATATTATTTCGGTAGTTTAGCTGCGTTTCAAGTCCGGAAAAATTTCAGTATGTAGTTCAGTATGTAGTTCAAATGGCTATAATATGTATGTATATACATGTATGTATAGTATACAGGATGTTTCAGAAATAATTGGTCAAATTCTAAGAGCGTATGCCACTCATTGTAAGGATGAAAAAAAGTCATAAACATGGGTTCGGAAACGACTTTTCCTTCCAAGTTATAAATATTTTTTTATTTTATACCTATATTTTATTTTATACTTGTATCTATTTTTTATTTTATATTTATTTTATATCTATATTTTCATTACAGAAATTGCTGGAAATGATTTCCTTCCGTTGCATATGAAAAAATATGAAATACTCCGAGAATTTTTGAACGTCTTCGACAATCCATGTGATTTTTGAACGTCTTCAACAATCCATGCAGTCGATACGAAGCATGCATCGATGCGGAAGGAAATCATTTCCAGCAATTTGTTTTCTATAATGAAAATATAGATATAAGTATAAAATAAAATATGAATATAAGTATAAGTATAAAATATAGGTATAAAATTAAAAGTTTGTATAACTTGAAAAGGAAGCGTTTCCGAACCTATATTTACAATTATATGACTTTTTTCATCCTTATAATGAATGAAATATGCTTAGAATTTGGCCAAATATTTCCGAAACACCCTGTATATTAATTTACTTTAAATTAGTCAAATATTAAAAAGATCCCCGCTTAGACTGTTATGACCAAGATTTCCTATTTCTTATTTAAGAAGTTTCAAATTTTATTTACGATCCAATAAGATTCTTATTGAAAATAAATTGAGTACCCATTTTTCTTAGCAATGGAATGATATTTTTTGTGTAGCATTCATAAAGAGATAACGTTATTTTGTGATAAAGTATAACCGGTAAAATATAAAAAAATAAAATCTATCGTACATTGATAGAAATCGACGTACGTTAAATTCAAAATAAATTCTCGCAATGTGTTGAGATAAATTCTCAGATGCCCAACGTGACACACTGACATATCGACATTCGCGTATTCCTTGCAACAGGGTATTGAGTGCCTCTTGCATTAATACTCTCGAAGGTTGTCCGATTGATCGAGAAATTCACTCCGATGCGGGCTAAATAATTATCATTTTCCATTCCAGCACGGCGGTGCAATCGCAATCACCTCGAATTTCATCGATTTTTCGTAGCTCGGCAGGCTCTCATTGTGCGATCATACATATAATTCATCGTCGTGGCGCGCCGTAAATGCGCTCGCTGTATTGCCGTATAATATTACATTTATTATGCGTTTATTTCTCGATATACGACGACCGGTGTGGCGCCAATCAGCCGCGGCCGCAATGTACATGCCGCGCATATTCGGTG